AAAGGTAAATATTGTGGGGATATAAGAGTAAATGAAGAAACAGGCACAGTCCCTCAGAACACGCCTGGGTTTACTGAGCCATTTCAACATGCCAGGCCCTGTTCTCAGCACTTTATGTGTCTTTACTTATATATAAATTGAGCCATTTGGTTTAGTCCACACCTCTGGAGTAGGTGTGATGCTAACACTTCACCAGGGGAGGTGAGAGTAACCTGAGGGCAGTATGTGCAAAACCAACAGCTGGTAAGTGGCAGAAACAGGGATTGAGCCCTGGACGGTTGGCTTCCCGAACATACATCCACTCAGCCTCTAACTCCCTTGAGGTGCCAGAAAATCAGAAGACATTTGTGGTGCACAGATATTTATGCATTTGGGCAAGAATAGAGTGATTGAGGTTTAGGAGGATGCTATAAATGATAAATACTTTCTCTATGAAAGTCTATTTCCATATATACATTTTCTTGACTAGATTATCAAACCCTATACTGTCCTCTTAAGTTCAAGTAAATACCATTTGGGTAAAAGTTCTAATGTAAAATAATGAAGTCTTAACTTGTATATTTCTTCATGAGGGAGTCTCATAAGTTATATAAAAAGATTATAGCAATATAACAAGCAAGGGCAGGCTCAGCACCTGTACCACAGTGGTTATGGCACCAGCCACATACACCAAGGGTGTAAGTTTGAACCTGGCCCGGGCCAGCTAAATAACAATGACAACTGCAACCAAAAATAGTGGGGCCTTGTGGTGAGTGCCTATAGTCTCAGATACTTGGGAGGTTGAAGCAAGAGTATCACTTAAGCCCAAGAGTTGGAGGTTGCTGTGAGCTGTGATGCCACAGTTCTCTACTGACAGTGACATAGTGACCCTCTGTAAAGTTTTTTTTTTTTCTGTCTCAAAAAAAGAAAAAGAAAAGAAAAAACAAGCAAGGGCTAAAGAAAACAGATTAAAATTAATATATATACATACATATATATGTATGTACAACTATGATAACTAAAGGAGTTTATTTCCTCGCTATTCAAAAAGGACTTATGATTCACTCATTCATTCATCTATTCAATTTATTGGGCATTGACTTTTACCAGGCATTGTTCTAGACCCTGGGGTTTCAGCAGTAAACAAAACAGATTAAATTAAAAAAAAGAAAAACAAAAAAACCCCCGTTCTCACGGGAATTACATCTTAAGTGAGAAAAACAGACATTCAGTAATAATTAATATATAACCTATATACAAGTGTAAGTACTACAGGGAAAATAAAACAGAAAAGAGGGTGGAAGTACACGGTGGGAAAGGGGGAGCTGCAATTTTAAATAAGATGGCCCGGGCATTATTGAGAAGATAATATTTAAACAATTCTCAAAGATGGTGGTAAAGAGGTCACACAGTGGACATTCGTGCAAAGAATGTTCCAGGCAGAGGAAACAGTCCAGGTAAGGGTAAAGTGGAAATGTGCCCACTGTTTACGAGGCACAGGAAAGAGACTCAGAGAATAAAAGGGAAGAACAGTGAGCTCAGGGCTTTAACCTCCTGTTCCTTCCTTCTAGTCGTTTTGGGCTGGATTCTATCAGGTGGATCTCTCCACTGAGCCCTGTGCTTTTAGATTCTTGTAATTACTCCCTAAAGGCCTATAGGCCAAGTTTTAACTAGGGGTGGGTATATTACCAATAGACTACCAATCTCCTGATCCCTGCACAACCCTCTGTAAGTAGTCAAGCTGCTCAGACTGCCCTAATTTAAGTGTGCCATCTCATTCCTGGCAGTGCCTGACTAATTCAGAAGTCTAGGGCAATAATCCAGGTGGAGACAATGGTGGTTTAGATCAGAATGTTAGCAGTGGAATGAGGAGAAGCAGTGAGATTTTTGACTTGCTGATAGATTTAATATAAAGTTTGACTACAGATTTTGGCCTAATCATCAGAAAGGTAGAATGCAAAGATTAATTTTTACAAATTCACAAATCAACTGAAAATATTGTGCAAATACACTGAAAATTGCTCACAGGAAGAGATATTTATGGCTTACAAACCAGTCTTACTGCTCATGAAAGCAAATTAACAGAACGGGTATCATTTTCTCCTATAAAATCAACAAAGATAAAACATATCATGATAAATGGTGTTTGCATAGGTTATAGAAAACATAACTGGAGAAATGCAAATCTTTGTGAGAGATAATCTGTAATCCCTAACAAAATTTTAAATATACATATACTTTGATTCACAAATCTCTTTTATTCTACAGATATCTGAGTAGATATTTGTACAAATACCAAAGCATAAGATTTTCAGTGTATTGGCTCAGCACCCATAGCGCAGTGGTTATGGTACCAGCGACATACACCAAGGGTGGCAGATTCAAACCCAGCCCAATCCAGCTAAGCAACAATGACAACTGCGACAGAAAAATAGCCAGGTATTGTGGCAGGTGCCTGTAGTCCAAGCTACTTGGAAGGCTGAGGCAAGAGAATGGCTTAAGGCCAAGAATTTGAGATTGCTGTGAGCTGTGACACCACAGCACTCTACTGAGGGGGACATAGGGAGACTATCTCAAGAAAAAAGATTTTCAATGTATCAGTGTTAATAACAAAACATTGGAAACAACCTAAGTATCCATCAATAGGAAATATTAGTTAAATAAATTAGTATGTATACATGCACACACACACAATAGAATACTACCAGTGATTTACAAAAAATGAAGAAAATCCACATATCAACATGGGAAGATCTACCAGAGATTTATATTGTCAGATAGGAGTGGGGTGGTATGTCAAGCGTCTACCAGTATATTTAGTATGTTTCTACTTATTAGTTTCTTTTTCTTTTTTTAAGAGATGGGGTCTCACTCTGTCACTGAGGCTAGAATTCAGTGGCATCATCATGTTCACTACAGCCTTGAACTCCTGGGCTCTAGTGATCCTCCTGCTTCAGCCTCCTGAGTAGCTGGGACTAAAGAAAGGCATATACCACATGGCCGACTGAGAGTCGCCTTTTTTTTTTTTTAAAAGAACACATACATACAAATGAGAAAATTCTAGAACAATAAAAGAAATTAGTACAAGTGACTGCCTGTGAGCAGGCTGGTGTGAAATAGTTTCTTT